CACGCCATCACCAGGGAACCCTCAGGCCCATGGCACACACCCACCTACCACGGGCTCTTTATCAGACCCACACCTCCATCTTCAGGATCGGGTGCTTTATTTTTACAAATCGTTGACGGTCCAGACCAAGGGGTGTGGGGAGGCCAGAGGGTGGGCTGTAGAGGGACTGTGGAGAGGGGACCCCAACCCTGCTCTGGGGACATGCTCTGTGTGCTCAAGGGCTGAGTGGTGCCTCCACAGTGCTGCTGGTGGTGGGAGGCATGGGGCCTGTGGGGAAGGACCCCGTGGGTGAGCCCAACAGGGGCCCGGGGAAAGGCATGAGGTGGCTGACAGGCCCTGACAGCACCACGGGGCCCAGGCCTTGGTAGAGCTGGGCAGTGCCAGGTGGGCCCAATGTCAAGCCTGAGGCCATCTCCCCACAATTTCCTCCATCGCTGCCCCCAGCCACCATCATGGAGCCACCCGCTGGCCCATCAGCTGGTCCTGGGCCTCCCAGACTCGACGCTGGTTTCTTTTCTTTGTGGGATTTCTTGTGCTTTCTGGTCTTTACAGCATCCTTCTGCGTGGCCAGTGGCTGGGCGGCATTCCCCTGACAAAAGGGAGGCCATGAGTGTTCCCCAGCCTCAGACTTTGGCCTCTGGGTCTCCACCCTTCCCACCCCACTCCTTAAGAGTAGGGAACTGGCTCAGCACTAGGGGAGCAGGCCCCAGCTGTGGCACAGATAATGCCTAAGGAATCATGAGCTTGTGAGGCCCTAAGCTGGGGAAAGGCTGGGGGTGCCACTAGCCATAGGACTAGCTGATGGCTGGAGGGGAGGAGGAAGGAGATGAGAAGGAGAAATGGCCGAGAGAGAAGGAGCAGGAGGGATAAGGAAGTCAGGGAGGAGATGGAAGTGCAGAGAAGAGAGGGATGGGGGGGGGGGGAGGGGGAGAATAACAGGAAGAGAGGGAATGGAGATAGGAAGATTACTGGCATGGAAAAGGAGAAGGTAGGCAGAGTTAGTGGGATGGGGGAGGGCGCAGGTTCCAGGAGGCAGGGCACACCTGGTGTCGCTTGTAATAGAGTCCGCAGGCATTGCACAGAGGTTCTCCACTGGCATTCATCCGCCACACTGCCGTGGTGGTTGTCTGGCAGTTGGTGCACCGGGTACCTGCCCGCTTGCTGACCTTCTGGAGGCAGCAAGAATGTGAGGGTCAGTGCACTGGGTGGGTGGAGGACACAGGAGGTGAGGGTCAGGGTGAAGGCAGGGCTTCCTGGACGAGAACCACAGGCACCGTTGGGGACAAGGAGTAGACTGAGGGTTCTCTAAGGGGCGAGGACATGGCCTCCTGTCCCGGGGCTTTCCAAATGGGGTGGGGGCTGCATCAGTGGCTCTCAACGTTGGCGGACACTGGACGCACTTGGGGAGTCGGAAATAATCCTGATGCCCAGGCAGCGCCCCAGAACAAGTAAATCAGCCCATCTAGGGAGGGTCCCACTGTGACCTGGCCTATGCAGGGAGTGGATGGCGTGCCGGCTTGCAGCCTGAGTGTGGGCTGAGGGTAGACACTCCTGTACAGAGCTGGGTCCCTGAGTGGATGGAGCAGGGAGGGGGTCGGGGTTCTCAGAGTGTGAGGACAGAGATCCTGCAGGGAGTGGGAACAGCAGTGCCTGGGTGAGGGGAGGCGGGCCTGGGGTCTTACCGGGTGCTTTTTGAGCTGGTTCTGCCTATTGATTGTCTGACCCTCTGCATCGCTCTGGTACCACAGCGAGGCAGCCGTTGCTTCACAATTTTCACCCTCTTTGGCCTCTGGTGTGGTGGACAGCAGAAAGAGGGATCCAGGCTCAGCACAACTTTTCCTTGGACCCGCCCCCTACCTCAACCTCCCTGTCCTTTTTGGGGGACCTCACCACAGGTGGTCATGGGCAGGGCTCCATGAAGATTGGTGGGCGAATAGGCCGATGGATTCGGGGAGCTTTCGGTGGGAGGAAAGAAGCCCCTTGGAAAGTCAGGGGCCCCGGAGGCACTGGTCGGGACAGGAATGGAGGAAGGCACTGCCGGTGCCATGGTCAGCAGGTCCAAACTGAGTTGCTGTGTTGTTACGGTCTCTAGGATGGTGCCTCTCGCATAGGAATCTTCTGAGACCTGGGGGTCATCGCTGGTGGGGCACACAGTGGAGGACAGGTAGACCCCAGTGTTGCTATATGCCCAGCTGGTGTATTGTGAGCCTCCTGGGGTCTCCTCTATACAGTTGAGCACCTGGTAGCCTGTTGAGGGGGTGGGTATGGGAAGGAAGAAAGAAGGGGACAGAAGGTCTGACACCATCCTGCTTTCAGGGTGCAGTGGGACCCAACAGCCCCAGCATGGTGGCCAACCTCCCCACCTTCCCATAGGTTGCCAGAACAGCTGCTGGCCCTGAGGGACTCCTGGACCTGAGCCCCACTGGTCACCCTGGCAGCTGCAGTCACCCGAAGCCACTTCCCAATGGACTTTGAGCAAAACTGTGTGGAGCCCCATGGGCCACTCAACAACGAGGGCCACCCCCACCTACTTACTGCATTCTTTCCTGATGAGGCCTTCTGGGGATATACATTCCCAGGCCTGCACATACGTAGACAAATTGGTCCACATAGCCATGTGAAGGCTTCTGGCCTTTTCCAAAATGGCTTCTTTGTTGGGTTCTACCCTAGCTAAGTGTCTCCCTGGCAACCCCAACAGCATGGAACCCTGCCAGGAAAGCCAGTGCAGCAGCAGCCTGTGTGTGATCTGACTAGGGCCAGGGGTCAATCCTATAACCCGGGTATGTGCTGTTGACTAGGAATTGAACCAGAGACCCTTGGTGCACAGGCCCATGCTCTAACCACTGATCACACCAGCCAGGGCCCATGAGAGATTCCTATGGGCCAGGCCTGGAAATTGTGTATGTCACTCTGCTCACTCCATTGATCAGAACTGTTACAGGTCCACCTGTCCTTGTAAGGGGGGCTGGGAAAGTGAGTGAGTCAGGAAGAAAGGGGAACAGGGTTGACAAGCCTATGGCAGTGTCTGCTTCAGGATTCTGTAGACTCCCCAGAGCTACGCTGTTTCATGTGGGAGCCACTGGCCACAGCCTGAATAGTGGCTCCTGTACAAGGTGAGGGTAAGGCTTCCAGAACAAGGCTGTCAGAGAGAGAGAGTCTCATCGGGGCTCCTGTACAGGGTCAGGAGAGTGTTTCCAGAGGGCAAGTTCCGGGGTTCCCATAAAAGATCAGGTCAGAGATTCCTGAAACCAGTCAAGTTATGGATTTCTGTTGGAAGTCAGGGAAAGGTTATCTGCAGAATCCGGTTATAGGCTCCAGCACTGTTATAGACAAGGCTTCCTGTAGAGGGTCAGGCCATGCAGCCAGGACAGGGATATGTCAGCACGCCCTGCACAGTGTCTGGGCAGGGGGTCCTGTGCCAGGTGAGGCTGTAGGCGCCTGTATAGGCTGAGGGCTGGACTTAAAGCATTGGGTCAGGACAGGTGCCTTCCACAGTTTTAGGAAATGATTTTCTTTTTTTAACATATATTTTTATTCATTTCAGAGAGGAACGGAGAGGGGGGGAGAGAGAGAAACATCAGAGATGAGAGAGAACCATTGATGGGCTTCTTCTTGCATGTCCACCGATGGGAACTGAGCATACAACCCAGGCATGTGCCCTTGACCAGAATCAAACCTGGGTGCTTCAGTCCACAGGCAATGCTGTATTCATGTATGTTCAAGACTAAGGTTGGTGTTGAGAGTTGGATCACGGGTTCCTATGGGCTCTGTGGGGTAGGGCGTGAGGTAGGGATTGTTGTGTAGAGTGACACCTGGGCCCATTGTCAAGAATGAAAGCAAGGCTCCTGAACTCCATTGAGGTTCCCAAAGAGTTTGCAGATGGGGATTTCTTTTCTTTATATAATATATACTTTTATTGATTTCAGAGAGGGAGAGAGAATCATTGATTGGCTACCTCCTGCATGTCCCCTACTGGGATCCAGCCTGAAATCGGGCATGCTTTATTTATTTATTTATTTATTTATTTATTTATGTATTAAATATATTTTATTGATTTTTCACAGAGAGGAAGGGAGAGGGATAGAAAGCTAGAAACATGGATAAGAGAGAAACATCGACCAGCTGCCTTCTGCACCCTCCCCACTGGGGATGTGCCCGCAACCAATGTACATGCCCTTGACTGGAATCAAACCTGGGACCTTTCGGTGCGCAGACCAATGCTCTATCCACTAAGGCAAACCGGTTTTGGCCAAGCACTTCTTTTAAAAGTCATAAAATACACCTCATTTATATGCCAGAATATCCATTTGTGTATATACTTGGACGTGCATAGAATATGCCTTTAAACTGGTACACAAACACATGCAAAGTAAACATCAGATCCATATTCTCACACGTGGACTCACAGAAATGCCGTGGCCCTCCCCATTTACCACCCTACCCTCCTCCTCCATTTGTCTTCCCCCCCCCCCACTCCTGCTTCAAGGACCTATGACCCATTTCTCAGCCATCCATGCAGATGTCCCTGGAAGTGCACTAATCAGTGCTTGGAGGCCAGGTCATTTCGTGTGTGTTCCTTGCCAAGCTCAGCTTATTAGTCACCAAAGTTGTGGTTGGACTGGCCCTAGAGGTGTTTGTGATTGCAAGATGTCCTCAGCAAAAAGTCATCAGGAAACTGAGAGGATGGCTTATTACTAAAAAGACCTAGGAATGACACAGCACACCTGGGGCCACATAGAGGTGAGAGAGAGGTAGGGAGCCACGTAGAGATGAGAGAGAGGAAGAGAGAGAGAGAAGAGAGGGAGAGAGAGTGAGAGAGGAAGAAGAAAAAGAAGAAGAAGGAGAAGAAGAAGAAGAAGAAGAAGAAGAAGAAGAAGAAGAAGAAGAAGAAGAAGGAGGAGGAGGAAGAGGAGGAGGAGGAGGAGGATGAAGATGAGGAGGAGGAGGAGGAGGAATGCCAGGCCTGCCTTTCAGAAAAAGGGGATTTAGGGACAGAGACAAGCCCATGTAACCTCAGCTGGGAGGGTGAGTGGTCAGCATCTGCAAAGGCTAGTCTCAGAGGAAGTGACCATGAAGTAGACACCAGGCTCCCCATTTACAGGGGAGGAGACTGAAGGTCAGAGAGGTTGTGTGAGCTGATCAAGGTCACACAGCAAGGCAGAGATGGGCCAGTTGTCAGCCCCAGGCTTGCCAGGCCTCAGGGCAGATGCACTGTGCATTACTCACAGCTCACAGCTGTGTCTCAACATCACCTGTTTCCATTCAAACACACCAGTTACTCTTTCTGGGGCACTGCTTCCTAAAGTTTTTCAAAAAAATATTTTAAAATTATTTTACTTTTTAAATTTTAATCCTCAACCAAGGATATGCTAGTGGATTTTAGAGAAAGGGGAAGGTGGAGAGAGAGAAAGATGGGTGTGATAGACAACACGGATTGCCTTCCGAACTTGCACAGACCAGGGATCAAACTTGCAACCTAGTTATGTGCCCAGACTGGGAATCAAACCTGCAACCTCTTGGTATCAGGACAACTCCCCAACCAACTGAGCCACACCAGCCAGGGCATAAATTTAGAAACAAACAAACAAAAAATAAAAAACCCATAACCCTCTAACATAAGCATTATTGTGATAAGCTACAGTTGTGAGATCTAGTGAAAAATGAGAGTAAATGATTAATTAGATAGTATTTTCTTCCAGTTCGCTTCCAATGAGCCAGCCTGTTTACTGGTTACCTTATTTTAGTCCTTGAGGTGTAGCACGGAATCAGCTTTACACCTGCCATCCGTTGTAATCCTGACCGCAATCTGGGAGGCGTGGACTCTGTGCCTAATGGACCAGTGGGTAGACCAGGACCCGGGGTCACTAACGGGCCTGGGAGCACACTGTGGGCCCAGAGGAAAACTGGAAATCTGACTCCAGAGCCAAGCCCTGCCAGCCCAAGAGCTCAAGTCACAAGGGTGCTCTGAGCCTCCACCTCCACATCTGTAAACTGGACTCCATAGAGGCCCTCTGCACAGCGTGGGGGGACTTCCTGTAGAAAGGATGGGCTTCCTTGTTCTGGTCTCTGGATAAGTGTGGGACTATCCAAGGATCAGTATGTGATGACTATTAAAATATTTGTCCCCAGAAGTATTTCTTTAGCTCCCACATTTTAAATAGATGGTCCGTAAATTATTGATCTCTTTCCTGAGTTTAATGTTGTCTCCACCTTAATCTGTTAGTGCAGGTGATGAATCCCTTGGTTTTCCTTTTTAAAAAATATATTTTATTGCACACCGCCAACTGGGTATGTGTCCACAACCAGGGCACATGGCCGTGATCAGAATTGAACCTCGGACCCTACAGTTTGCTCTACCCACTGAGCCAAACCAGCTAGGGCCCTTTGTATTCTTTTGAGATGTAGCAAGAGGCTGACTATAGACACTGTTTATTATCAGACCCTGGGGAAGCGCCTGAGCAGAGGCAGCATAATTGGAAGGAGCAAGGGTCCTAAGTGATGGAGATTATGTGAGATGGTGGCTACTCAGTGTTTCACTCTGACCAAACACCCACATAAAAAGAGGACAATAAGAGTGATATAAGCCAGTCAATGAAAGAGAGACACCACATGACCTCACTCATTTATGGATAATAACGAACATTATAAACCGATGAACCAAAAGTTAGATATAGAGACAGTAAAGCAACAAGCAGACTGTCAAATTACAGCGGGGATGGCAGGGAGATCTGTGGGAGATAAGAGATCAACTGCAGGACTTGTATACATGCATATAAGTACAACCAATGGACACAAAACTCTGGGGTGGGAGGGTATGTATGGAAGAGGGGGGATGGTAAGATATGTAAACAGATAATAATTTAATAAAAAAAAGAGGACAATGAAACAGCAGAAACCAAACCAAACATGTGTGTACATCATTGACAACAAAGTCACATGACACGGTATCCCCCAAATGCCAACATTTAAGTGGTTAGGGACAAACCACCAAAGCCTTTATCTCAATGAAAAACCTTTATTAAAACAATAAAGCCAACTTCTTAATTTTATTCTTCAAAGATCCACTGCATAAAAGGCAAACTAGGAAAGGGGAATCTCAACTCAGGGGCAAAGGCAGCCCCTTTGGAGGGCGAAGAGGGCCCGGAATAAGGGCCAAGAGCAGGCTAAGAGCTAGGAGGGGGATCGTGGGCAGAGGGGGCTTTCAAACTCATGACCTTGGTTGCTGGCTCAGAGAACTCTAGGGAACCTCACAGGAAACCACCAGCAGCAGCCCCTCCCCCAAAGTGGTGGCTGGGGCTTTCTCCT